CTTCCTTCCTTCCTTCCTTCCTTCCTTCCTTTTTGTCAGTCATGGGGCTTGAACTCAGGGCCTAGGTGCTGTCCCTGAGCTTTTCTTTTGCCAAGGCTAGCACTCTACCACTTGAGCTACAGCTTCAAATCCGGCTTTTTGGTGGTTAATTGGAGTTAAGAGTTTCATGGACTTTCCTGCCTGGGCTGGCTTTGAATTGTGCTCCTTAGATCTCAATCTCCTGCTGTTATTTCTTGTTTTGTTTTTGTCTGTTTTGAGGGTCCTGGGGCTTGAATTCAGGGCCTGGACTTTGTCCCTGAGCCTCTCTATGCTGTGCTCAAGGCTAGCTCTACTACTTGAGCCACAGAACCACTTCTGGCTTTTTGTAGTTAGTTGGAGATAAGAATCTCAGTGATTTTCCTCCCCAGCTGGCTTTAAATAGTGATTCACAGATCTTAGCCTTCTCCAGGTGTGAGCCACCATTGGCCAGCTTTTTTTTTTTTTTTGGTGGTGGTAATGGAGTTTTAACTCAGGGCCTTACATATGCTAGGCAGGTAGGCATTCTATTGGTAAGCTACACTTTCCAGTCTTTCCTTCCCCTCCCCCACTCCCCGCATTGAGACCAGGGTCTTGCTTTTCCCTGGATGAGTACCACAATTGGCCTACTTTAGACTTCCTGTTATACCTGGGATGACAGGTACATGTCACTCCACCCAGCTTCTTGCATTGGGATGGAGTCTCATGGACTTTCCTTCCTCGGCTGGCCTGAAATGGGGATCCTCCCTATTTCAGCCTCCCATGTAGCTGGGATGACAGATGTGTGCTACAGTGCCTAACTAGTGGTTCAAAAAGCGTTCTCACATGTATAGCTGGGCTGGCCTTGAACTTAAGTCCTCCTGATATTAGCCTCTCAAGTAGAGGGGATTGTAGTGAGCCATGAATACCTGACTTCTCTTTTCTTTCATTCTTTTACTCTTCGCAGAATTTTTCTTGCCTAATTAGCACAAGGCAATGAGTTTAAGCCCCAGTACCACCACAAAAGAAAAAAACAAAAAGACAGTTTCTTGTAGGGGTGGTCCTTCTGGGGCTATCTTGGCAGAAAGCCAGGAAAAAAGAAAATCAACGGTAAAACCAGACTAGAGATGTAGGTAAAAATACAAATAAAGGTCATTGAAAACGGCCCCTCCCCGCATGGCAGATCGCAGGGCTCTTGTTTCTGTCACTCTAGCCCACCAATTTCCCCCAAATCAAAGCAGAGAGCTCGTAAGCAAAAAAATCCCCTTGTCTGATAAACAACATTTTTACCCGCCTGCCACATGGAAAGGTTAAACCACAGTCTGGGCCCCACACTCTGAGATCCTAGGGTGGGGCTTGCTTGCCTGTCAGGGTCAATCCCCTACAAAGTCCCTAGGCCCTCATTGTATTTGAGCGGCAACTTGGCCATCTAGAAGCTTACCACTGTGTGCCTCAGCACCCCCACACTCCTGTAACTGCTCACGGACCCTCAGATCTCGAGTTTGGTTCATTTGTCCATTATTACATATGGAGTTGGGGAAGGAAAAGAAGAAAAAAAAATCAGTCTAGTTACATCTTTTCATCCACATACCACTGGACATCTGTTTCTCAAAGACATTTTTTCTGGTCCTAAGGCCAGAACTCAGGACCTGGTTGCTGTCCCTGAGTCGTTTTTTGGCTCAAGGCTAGTGCTATACCACTTGGGCCACAGCTTCACTTCCAGCCTTTTGGTGGGTAATTGGAGATAAGAGTTTCAAGGATGTTCCTGCCTGGGCTGGCTGATCCTCAGATCTCAGCCTCCTGAGTAGCTAGGATTACAGGCGTGAGCCACCAGAGCCCATCTTGCTTCTAGAAAACAGTGCATGAGAGCAATAACTGCTGCTGTCCTCCGCTCTCCACAGTCTCCTCCCCCACCGTGGGCAAACCCTACAAGTGCAACTACTGTGGCCGGAGCTACAAACAGCAGAGTACCCTCGAGGAGCACAAGGAGCGGTGCCACAACTACCTACAGAGTCTCAGCACTGAAGCCCAAGCTTTGGCTGGCCAGCAAGGTGGGGCTGTGGGCAGTTCCATGGGGGAGCTGTGGGGAGGGCCAAAGGGAGTGCAGGACAAGGGTGAATAGAGCACCTCTTCCTGCAGAGGGGTGAGATCTGTTGGAATAAGGAGCACTTGTCCTGAGCACCCCCACCAGTATGGAGCAGAGCCCTGTGGTAGGGTACTATGGAGAGATCCACTGGTAGGAAGTTTGGGTCTATATCTTCAGTCTAAAGTGTGTGTGTGTGTGTGTGTGTGTGTGTGTGTGTGTGTGTGTGTAGAGAGAGAGAGAGAAAGAGAGAATAAAATCCAGCAACAGATGGTTGTAACTGTAGCCTTACGTGGTGTTTTACACAGCTACTCAAGAGGATCTTGAGTTTAAGGCTAATCTGGGCAAAGTTTAGAGATCTTATCTTCAGAATGAAAATATGAACAAAAAGGCTGGGGACATGACTCAAGTGGTTGAATACTTGCTTAGCTTCATGCCCTGGGTTTAAACTCCAGTATCATTATTTTCTCTCTCTCTTTCTCCCTATCTATCTATCTATTCATATAGTTTTTTTTCTTTTTTTCATATAGTTTTATATGGAGTTATATAGTTCATCGTTTTGTTTGTGTGTGTGTGTGTGTGTGTGTGTGTGTGTGTGTGTTCCCAAATAGATTGAAATGCTGTTGGTGTGAACTTTAGGTGGGTAAACAGAGGCTTGGTTCCCAGACATTAGGTATAACCTTCCCTGACAACTAAAGCCCTGGTTTTCTCCAGAGGCAAAGGCTAAGTAACCAGTGCTACCCCTACACTGCCACTAATTGTTCCCCTCCCCCACCCCCACTAGGTGATGAAATAAGGGACCTGGAGATGGTGCCAGACTCCATGCTGCACTCATCATCTGAGCGGCCAACTTTCATTGATCGCCTGGCCAACAGCCTCACCAAACGAAAGCGTTCAACCCCGCAGAAGTTTGTAGGTAAGAGTCCACTTGGAAAGAATTTGGTAACTTTAAGCCAATAAATAAATCTGAGATCTGGTTGCCGAAGATCAGAGGTTTGTGCCTGGAGATTTGATTTAGAGAAAGAAAGCAGCCTGGTGGTCTCTGGTACTCAGAATCCACCCCTGGAACAAGAGGAAGTGAAGTGGGAAAATGTGCCTGATAAGAGAGAGGGTGCCATGTTGAGGACTCTGGGGGAGTTGTAAGGGAAGGTGGTTGGGGGCTCAAGCTTTCTCAGTTGTTGGGGTTTTTGTTGTTGTTTTGGGGTTGTTTTTGCCCATCCTGGGGCTTGAACTCTGGACCTGGGTGCTGTCCCTGGGCTCCTTTTGCTCAAGGCTAGCACTATACCACTTGAGCCACAGCATCATTTCTAGCTTTTTCTGAGTAGTTTATTGGAGATAAAAGAGTCTCACGGACTTTCTTGCCCAGGCTGGCTTTGATCCACAATCCTCAGATCTCAACCTCCTGAGTAGCTACGATTACTACTGGTGCCTGGGTCTCCCAATTTTTGAGACTAACAAGGACTTGAGTCTATATATACCCTTAGAGTTGGGAGAGGCAGTGGCATGTTATTCCCCAACCTGGCACTGGCATTAATTCTCTGAGGATCAGGAGCTTTGTAGGGGGTCATGAAGGAAGTATTAAAGATGTGGGGGAGGGGGCTGGGAAGGTGGCTCAGTGGTAGAATGCTTGCCTCCCATGCATGAAGCCCTGGGTTTGATTCCTCAGTACTACATAAACAGAAAAGGCCGGAAGTGGTGCTGTGGCTCAAATAGTAGAGCGCTAGGGCAGACAAATCTGAGAGACGCTTATCTCCAGTTAACCAGGAAAGGGCAAGAAGGGGAGCTATGGTTCAAGTGGTAGAGTACCAGTCTTGAGCAAAAATGGGGAACAAGAACATGAGGCTCTCAGTTAAAGGTAGGGTAGAGTGAGACTAAATCCTTTGCTAAGATGACAGCCTACTGTCAGGGAACGGTCCTACAGAGGGTCTGACCTCAGGGTTAATAAATGAGGTGTAAGCCGGTGCAGGTGGCTCATGCATATAATCAAGGGGCTAAGATCTGAGGACTGTGGTTCCAAGCCAGACTGGGCAGGTAAAGGCTATGAGACACTTATCTCTAACAAACTATTTAGAAAAAGCTGGAAGTGGCACTATGGCTCAAGTGGTAGAGTGCTAGCCTTGAGCAAAAGTAGCTCAGGGACAGAGCTCAGGGCCTGAGTCCAAACCCTACAACTGAAATAAAACAAAAAACAAAGAAGCCGGGGCTGGGAATGTGCCTCAGTGGTAGAGTGCTTGTCTAGCATGCATGAAGCCCTGGGTTCAATTCCTCAGTACCACATACACAGAGAAGGCCAGAAGTAGTGCTGTGGCTCAAGTGGTAGAGCGCTAGCCTTGAGCAAAAAGAAGCTCAGGCACAGTGCCCAGACCCTGAGTTCAAGCCGCAGAACTGGCCAAAAAAACAAAACAAAACAAAAACAAAGAAGCCATCCTGATCAGAATTCTTGCAACCTAGCTCTGCTGAGATCTTCTTCTTCACAGGTGAGAAGCAGATGCGCTTCAGCCTCTCGGACCTCCCCTATGATGTGAACTCGGGTGGCTATGAAAAGGATGTGGAATTGGTGGCACACCATGGCCTGGAGCCTGGCTTTGGTGGTTCTCTGGCCTTTGTGGGTACGGAGCATCTGCGTCCCCTCCGCCTTCCACCCACCAACTGCATCTCAGAACTCACGCCTGTCATCAGTTCTGTCTACACTCAGATGCAGCCCCTCCCCGGTCGGCTGGAGCTTCCAGGGTCTCGAGAAGCAGGAGAAGGACCAGATGACCTGGGTGATGGAGGTCCCCTCCTCTACCGGGCCCGAGGCCCGCTGAATGACCCTGGGGCATCCCCCAGCAATGGCTGCCAGGACTCCACAGACACAGAGAGCAACCATGAAGATCGGGTTGGGGGGGTGGTGACCCTGCCTCAGGGTCCTCCACCCCAGCCACCTCCCACTATAGTGGTGGGCCGGCACAGTCCTGCCTATGCCAAAGAGGACCCCAAGCCACAAGAGGGGTTATTACGGGGCACTCCAGGCCCCTCCAAGGAAGTGCTTCGGGTGGTGGGTGAGAGCGGTGAGCCCGTGAAAGCCTTCAAGTGTGAACACTGCCGCATCCTCTTCCTGGACCACGTCATGTTCACCATCCACATGGGCTGCCATGGTTTCAGAGACCCTTTTGAGTGCAACATCTGCGGTTACCACAGCCAGGATCGGTACGAATTCTCTTCTCACATTGTCCGCGGGGAGCATAAGGTGGGTTAGTGACCTCTCCCCCTGCCCCCCCCCCCTGCCCACCACTCCACAGCTCCACCTCCAGGTGTCTAGCACTGACCCCACTATACCCCAAGGTGTTTTGTATTGTAGCCACCACCCCTGGCCATCATCTGAATTCACACCCAGCCCTGCCCCTGCCCAGCTGTTCTCTTCTTAACTCTGACCGTTTTAAGCATTGTGATAAAACAGGTCTTTTGCTTATGTTTCTCCTTTTCCTAAACTTCTCTCCTCACCCCAGCATATTTGCTGAGTTATTTATTAATGATTTTTCTTTTGCCTTTTTAAAAATATATATCCACGTATGGTAGTTTCTTGCCACTCCTTTACCCTCCTGCCCACAGCTCCCTTCTACTCTAGGCCTAATATTTTTTGTTTGTTTGTTTCTTGTGGATCTAGCATCCTCCAACAGCCCCAGGGGTTGAAGCTCCTCTTTCTATGAAGAGACTCTGAGCTTCTTGCTTTAATACTCACCCTTTAACTTATCTGATTCTTCACTTTTGATGCTCATACCTCCCAAATGGCCCTACTTTGGCTCTGTGGCATTATCTCTCCTCTCTGGGACCCTTCAGCCTGGTACTCCATACCTCTCGTGCCCTCTCACTTTAGGCAGCTTGCACTATTCTTGAATGAATGACTTATTTCCTCATTTGGAAGTCAGAGGGGCTGAAGACATTCTCCCCAGGCACTGTGGACGGAAGCTCCAGCCTCCCCCTGGGAATATGAGCTCCCCAAAGCCTACATTCAGGATCGCCCTCCAGGATGTAATTATGGCTCTTCCCCCTCCCAACCTATACCTCAACACCACTCTAATCTCCGACCTGCCGCTGTACTCGGTGGTGGCTTTCTCCCCTTGGAGTGCTTCCCCAGTTCATCTTCTGTGGGGCCAAGGGGAGGTCTATAAGCCCTCTGTCTCTGACACATTGGGAGCCACAGGTGCCTAGTTGGGAACCAGGGCACGGGAAGGGGGGGTGGGTCAAAATCTTTCTCCTCCACCTCTCAAACTTCTTCACTCTAGTGACCTTCCTAGGTTCTCAGGGACTCCTTCAGTCCCCATCCTATGAGAAAGCGGTGGCTTGCTGCCCGACACCCAGGGTTCTCAAGCCCTGAGTCGTGCTGCCTGCTTCCTTTCCCTTCCAGCAGGATTCATTCACCCTCTCATTCCCAGGCTCCCAGGCCCTGTGTCATCAGTGGCCAGGAGAAAAAGGGTGTCTCTTTTCTCTCTTCTAATTTTTCAGTATAACCAAAAATTGTCCCAGGATGAGCAATGGCATGTGTCTCTCGCCCATTCCACGCTTGCTTCAACAAGCATGGTATGGGCAGAACTAACGGGGGGAGGGGGGAGGGAGGGGTGTCATCCATTGCCCTTCCAACACTTGGCCCCCAGACATAGGACAGGGGACACTCTTCCCTGGTGACTGCAGAGACCCCTGGCTATTTGAATAACCAAGGATTCAGGAGAAGGGGCAGGAGAAGGTACAGTTCCACTGCACATGGAGATCTCTCTCTACAAAGACTTCCCTGCCCAAAGCCACAGCCATCACAATCTCTGCTTCCTTGAGATTCAAACCAAAGGCTGTTTTTCTATGTTTAATGAAAAAAAAAAAAAAGGAAAAAGGAAAAAAAAAAAAAAGGAAAAACCAAACACAACACCTCACAAGTTGTAACCCTTGGTCCTTTCCCTTCCATCTTTCTTTTTTTTTGGGGGGTCTGGTTATGGGGCCTGAACTCTGGGCCTGGGCGCTGTCCCTCAGCTCTTCAGCTCAAGGCTAGTGCTCTGACACTTGAGCCACAGCGCCACTTCCAGCTTTTCTCTTTTTGCTTATGTGGTGCTGAGGAATCGAACCCAGGGCCTCAGGCATGTAAGGCAAGCGCTCTACCACTGAGCCACCTTCCCAGCCCCATCCCTTCCATCTTTCTTTTCATGTGTCCTTTCCTATTCGCTCTTTTCCCTATCCTGCTTTTCTCACTCCCTTTCAGGGATATTTGGGAGGAACAGCAAAGGATGGGCTAAGGATCAGACCCTGGGATAGGAGCTCTTAAGGGTTCTGGGAAGAGTCTATCTGTATCATGGGAAAGGAAAAAAATATTTCCTTCTCTCCTCCCCGCCCCCATCCCCTAATGTTCTGGTTTCCCCAGGAGAACCAGATTGGCAGAGGGGCCTTGTGGGGCGATTCTTCCTCCTTGACAACATTGCAATAAACAGGTGTTGCCAAGACAGGTTGGGAGTCAGCTGGAGGGAGTGGTCTTTAGAGAAGGGAAGGGTCTTCCCCGCCTTGGTACCAGCTCCTTGTTTAGGAGGAGGGCAGCAGAGTGAGGTTAGTATCTGGGCTTCTCCTGAACTCTTGTGGTCATTGAGCCTCTTCCCACTAGACCTCCCCCCCTTCCACCTCTTCTGTGTCTGCTGTATATTTGGGAGGGATGCCAAGGATGAGTCCCCTGGGGGGGGGGGCAGCAGAGCCTTTGAGCATCCCCATCCCCTCTTCTATCAGCCTTGGCACCCATAACCTCCTCAAACATGCTCTGAGGCTAAACTCTGTGTCCCTGAGAGCAGAGACTGGAAGGGCAAGACCAGGTGCTAGGGAGAAGAGAGAGGGACAACTGGTCTCTCTTCACACCATCACTGCACTTTAACCAGGGTCTTAGATACAAAATCCTACTTTCCAGAGCCTTCCAGCTCTGGAACCTCAAACATCCTCATGCTCTCTCCCAGCCCCTTTTGCATAAAAAAAGTTAAAAAACAAAAACAAACAACACACACATGCCCTGAAACCCACACGGAGAAAAGAGGTGTTTCCTTTTATATTGCTATTCAGAATCATCACTACAAAAAAAAAAAAAAAACACAGAAAAAGAAGAATTTCTAAATAGACATTTTTCCAGACCTTTGTTTTTTCGTGTCAGTGTCCAAGCTGCGGGTGGAATTTTTGTAATACTTCTGGCAGCTTCTTTCCATGTGTACATAATATATATACATATATATTTTTTAATCAGAAATTATGAAGAACAAAAACATAAGAAAACAAAATACAGAAGCAAGTGCAATACCACTCTTGTCCCCTCTCCCAGGGTTTCCTTTGTGGCCTGTTTGGTGTCTTTTTTGACCCGTTTACCTCCTCTCTTCTTCTGGTTCTTCTTTGCCCACCCAGTCCCTTCTTTTTTAAAGAGTTTTTCTCCTTTCTCAAGAGGAGTGAAGCTAGCTTTTGAGACTTATTGCAAAGCATTTTGTATATGTAATATATTGTAAGTAAATATTTGTGTAACGGAGATATACTACTGTAAGTTTTGTACTGTACTGGCTGAAGGTCTGTTATAAATAAACATGAGTAATTTAACACCCTTGGTTGTTCTTGCAGACTTCCTTTGCCTTGCATTCAACTGGGAGGAAGGGCGACTTCTTGAAGCATGTTGTACTAATCAGTATAGAACATGTACAAGGGCTGGGAAGTGGCTCCCTGGTAGAGTGCTTGCCTCACATGCATGAGACCCTGGGTTCCATTCCTCAGCACCACATAAGCAGAAAAAAGCTGGAAGTGGTGATGTGGCTCAACTGGTAGGGCGCTAGCCTTGAGCTGAAGAGCTGAAGGACAGCACCCAGGCCTATAGTTCAGGCCCCATGACCGACAGGAAAAAAAAAAAAGAACATGTACAAGTATACATTGACAGGGAACAGGCATTAGTGCTCAAGTTGTTGCTGCAGAACAACAGAAGACCTATCTAGAATTGAAGTATAGGAGCTCTTTCTGTCAAGAATGCCATCAGGATGGGATATAAAACCTGATTTGTTGGCTGGGCACTGGTGGCTCATGCCTGTAATCGTAGCTTCTTAGGAGGCTGAGATCTGAGGATCAAGTTTCAAAGCCAGCCCAGGCAGAAACATCCTTGAGACTCTTTTCTTTTTTTCTCTTTTTCTTTCTTTTTCTTTTTTTTGTCAGTCATTGGGCTTGAACTCAGGCCAGGGCTCTGTTCCTGAGCTTCTTCTAGCTTAAAGCTAGCACTCTGGGCTGGGAAGGTGGCTCAGTGGTAGAGCACTTGCCTTGCATGCATGAGGCCCTGGGTTCCATTCCTCAGCACCACATAAGCAAAAAGAAAAAAGCCG